TATTCAGGGCCCACAATCCTTCCCCCATAAGAGTCCCTAAGCTCCATCCACTGTTTGATTGTGGGTCTCTGTACCCATCTGAGTCAGCTGTTGGGTGGGACCTCTGAGAGGACAGCCATGCTAGACTCCTATCTGCAAGTATAACAGAGTCTCATTAAAAGTGGCAGGGATTGGAGCTTACCGATAGGATGGATCTCAAGCTGGGCTGGTTATTGGTTGGCCATTCCCTCAGTCTCTGCTCCAAACCCTGTGCCTGCATTTCTTCTAGACAGGATAAATTTTATGGGTTGGTATCCCTATCACTCTACCGGGTTCCTGCATGTTTACAGGAGGTGGCCTCTCCAGGTTCCATATCCCAGTGCTGTGAGTCACAGCTAAGGACACTCACCCATTGACTCTTGGGTGCCTCCTTTATCCCAGGTCTCTGTCACATCCTCAAGATGCCCTTTTCCTCCCCATCCCTGTCAGTTGCAGATTTCCATTCATTTTCATGGCATCTGTCCTTCCCCACACCTGATCCTAACCCTCCCCAACTCATTCCCCTCTCCCATCCAGTTCCCTCCCTCCATCTGGCTCCTATGACTATTTTATTTCCCCTTTAAGTGAGATTCAAGCTTCCTTGCTTGGACCTTCATTCTTGTTTAACTTCTTTGGGTCTGTGAGGTATAGCATGGGTATCCTGTGTTTTATGGCAAATATCCATTTATCACTGAGTGCATTCCATACATATCCTTTTGGGTCTGGGTTATTTTACTCAGGATGATATTCTCAAGTTCTACCCATTTGCCTGCAAAATTCATGATGTCTTTGTTTTTAATAATTATGTAGATGTACCACATTATATTAGTGGTGTATGTTGGTCATGTAAACTTGCTGTGTAGCTGAGGATGACTTTAAATGTCTGATCCTCCTGCCTCTACCTCCTGAGTGATAGAATTAGAGGCCTCACCACAAACACATGATGTTATGCAGTACTCAGGATTGAACCCAGGGCTTTGTACTCTACAAACTGAGCCACATCCCCAACTGAAAGAAAAAAGAGAATTAAGTTGATCATATTAAGAAGAAAAACTGAACATTTCATCAATTCATCTGTCTTTATGAACAGAAACTCCGATGTAAACACAACCTTGCTTTTAGAAAAATTGAGTCATACCACAACAGTTAAAGGGAGTGTTGTGTTATTATATGAGTAATAGCCAGGGGACACTTCGGTTCACAGTGATCACCAAAAGAAAGCCTCTAATAAAAGTAAAGACTGGTTTTCTTTGTGCTGCTTGAGTGCTTGAAGAAAGCACTAATCAAAGAATCAAGAGGCTGATAACTCATCCGTGACCTGGGGCAAGTCACTGCACACTCCAAACTATCTTCAGTCCTCTGCCCCACGCCTTCTACAATAAGAATAGTGACCCTTGGCCTACTTTCTGGAGCAATGAAAAGCAGATGACACCTTTGGAAGTCTGCATAGCCACTCCATGTTCTGATGACCTTAGAGGTGATGGTGTTTCCACCACACCTAACTGCATTGTGCTGCTACAATGACAAAGAAATATGAGACGTGGTCCTGAACTGCCTGGAATTCTTAGTAAGAGCAAAGACTAACAACTGAGGTACTAGGGCTGTAGTTTAACTGGTCTTTACCCAGCATTCACAAGAGCCAGGGTTTCTATCCCTCGATCTGCATATACCCGTTGTGATGGAGTACACCCAGTACTTGGGAGGTAGCAGCAAAAGGATCAGAAATAATTCAGGGCCATTTTTGGCTATAGAGCTTCTTTGAGGGGGTGTGGCTACTTAGGACCTTTCTCAGAAACAAAAACAATAACAAGCTGCTGGAAGACTTGAAGTTTGACAAAGGAAAGAAAGAATAAGAATAGTTTTATGGAGGAAACAGGAAAAGCCTGTCCTTGGAGGACGGAGGTTAGTTAGCCTAGGAAGGGGACGGATCACCCACGTAAGGCCAGATCATCAGTCAGGCTCAGAGGTAGGATGAAGAAATGTTTCAGGAAACATTGTCTGTTACTCTGTTCCCCCCTCACAGTATGCCGGGCAGCTTGCACCTGGTACACCATGGAAAGTTGGCTACTAACCTCTCCCTTTTAACAGCTAATAACAAAGAGCAGGCGCTCACTGGAGGACCTACACTTCACAAGATGTAGGACTTGATCTACACTCTGCACTGGGCTCCAGAGTTTAGTCTGCCTTTGTAGACTAAATTAGACGGAGAGACTAAGGAAGCTGGAAAGACAGAGGGGGTGGGGGCTCTGTCTAGGAGGGTCAGCTCCAGCACTGGGAGCAACGGGGGACCAAGGTCTGCCCACATCATTCATTTAAGAAGTTAATTCTGGGCCACGTTATGCTGCCAAATAGCTGTTCCTAGTGTGCCTTCCTGATGGGTTAATTTATTATTACATTATACATTAACACATATTTGCTGGGCGTCACGGTGTGTCAGGCAGCACTCTAGGGGTTCAGGCCATAGCAACTAACAACAACATCAACAACAACAATCTTTGCTCTCAAGCCACCTGTTTCTCAGTCAGATTGAAATCTAAATTCTACACGCCTCTCTGGAACAGAAACTGTCCCCCCAGCATTTAGCACAGCACTAGCCCCACAGCAGATATCCCTGTGGAAACAATTCTGAAACATTATCCTTGAAAACAATCGATCTATGAACAAGTGGTCTTGAATAACCTTCTGTAACATTAGCCCACTCGAAACAGGGACTCTGCAATGTAGCTCTGGCTCCTCATTTTGATAACTGTAAGTAGTGACGTGAATCTACCTCGTAGGGCTCCAGGTTCTGGATGAGGGATGGTGCATATGTTTAGCCCAAGCAGTACCCGGTCCATCCCCACAGCCATGTCAGACATTACTTGCTGATCGCCAATTCCAGATAGACAAGACTGAAAGCAACAAGCCAGAGAACTAGCCATACCAAATATTTTGCGAGGTTCTGATAACAGGAGTTGGTGTTCTTTGCTGTATTTGCACAGGCAAAAAGATGTGATAAGAAGTCTACCCTAACCATCAGGACAGAATGCCAATCCTGCTCCGCCAACTTTGCAGTCAAGTGTCCAGATGGCTACATCAAGGTTACGAATGGCTCTATCGGGGTTCGAGATTGCAGGTACTCATTATGACGAGATATGTGTGCCCATGTTTTGGTACCCTAAGAATTGTGACTCCAAATTGGAGCAACCTGTCTCAAACACTGCAAAGTAATTCCAGGATTGATCTCTTCCTCTAAGACTATACTTAGAGTAACTCACAATCTATGGACTTGAGTGTAAATCCTTATTATTGTGGACTGACATGTTAGTACAAAACTGCATTGTACATAAACACTCTCTTCCTCTTGCCCTCCTTTTTTTTTTTTTAAATTGGAGTCATTTGAAAATGGCTCTCAAACTGGGGAGGTGGCTCATTGGATATGTGAGCATGAGAACCTGAGGGCAAAACCCAGCACCCACTCCAGTGTAGCTGCAGATGCCTGTGACCCAGAGTTGGGAGCCAGAGATAGATGGAGAGCACTGGCCAGCCAGCCTAGCCAGAATGACAAGTTTCTAGGTCAGTGAGAAACCCTGTCTCACAGGAACAAAGTAACAGAGGAAAACACCTGACACCCTGTCCTAGCCTCTGTTAACAAGCACAGATGTGTTTACCTACACGCTCATGTGCATGCAACACACAAGATAGATAGATAAATGGATAGATAGATAGATAGATAGATAATAGATAGATAGATAGATGATAGATGATAGATAGAGATATGTAAATAAATAAATAAATAAATAGAAATAGTGTTCTAATTTGAACACATTTTTTTTTAACCTATAGGTTGCCTTGGCTATATAGCAAGATCCTGTCTCAAAAACAAAATCAATTTGTTAAGCCTTGGGTCTGGTGCCTGTCTTGCTAATAAGCTGTGAAGTCTACTACCAGTTAGAATCCAAAAAGATAGGATAGAAAAACTTCACCATTGTTGGAATGTCTGTATTACATTCTTGAGGGTCATCTATGGCCCAGAACTTTCATTATTCAAGGCTGGTCCTGTCAAAGGGGGTCAATTGGGTCTGCACACCTGCTAACAGGTGCAGCCAGGAGGCCCAAAGGAAATGAAAGTTTTGATTTGTTCAGCTAGCCGATATAGAAATGAGGCATCGTTCAATAAGTCTGTTTTTAATTTATGAATTAAGCATATGTATACATGTTTGTTTGTAGGTATTTGTGTGTGTGTGTGTGTGTGTGTGTGTGTTCGTTCATGTGTGTAGGTCAGAGAGTGACACTCGGTATCTTCCTCAATCACTGTCTAGCTTATGTTTTGAGACAAGGTCTGCCAATGAAACTGGAGCTCTCTCTGCAACAAGGAGTTGCTGGCCAGAGAGCTCTCGGGAGCCCCTCCTGTGTCTGTTTCTCTGGTGCCACGGCTACAGGAGGGCACTGCTGTGCCAGCTTTTTATGTGGGTACTGGGCATCCAGACTCATGTCCTCACGCAGCAGACACCTGAGCAGCTGAGCCTAAATGATTTCATTTTTGAATTTATGAATGACAAATTACTGCAATTTTACCATGAATGAAATAAAACCTTAATATTGTTGTATAACAATAGTTGACATTCACATCTGCCTAGTATGATCACATCATATTATAAAACCAATGTTTCCCAATATTACCTGGTCTAGAATTAGCAAGTACATTCATGAATTAACTAACTAAGTAATCAATTAACCTGAGTGAGAGCATGTTTGCAATGATTCATTTCCTACTAAGATTATATCAAAATTCAAAGTTAAAATTATATGGCATCTTACTAAGAATGTTTTAATATTCTTTTGATAAGGGTCAAGATGAGCTCTTGATTGTACCCAAGCTGCTGCTGCTACTACTACTACTACTACTACTGACTACTACTGACTACTACTACTGACTACTACTACTACTACTGACTACTACTACTGACTACTACTACTACTACTGACTACTACTGACTACTACTACTGACTACTACTACTGACTACTACTACTACTACTACTACTGACTACTACTGACTACTACTGACTACTACTGACTACTACTACTACTACTACTACTTACTACTACTGACTACTACCACTGACTACTAACTACTACTACTGACTACTACTACTACTAAATACACACACACTAAAAATTTTCATGGATGCTGTTTGTTTTAGAATTGAAAACTGGTCTGTTGTTCATTTATGCTAAAAAGCTGGGATTTTTGTTTTATTTGTATTGTATTTTTGATGGGATTTTTGGAAAAGAATTTTGTAATTATATTTATGTACAGAAAACTTAGCAGTGTACATTTAACCCAGTGTAGTGGCGAGTTCTTTAGCCTTTGCCTTTTCCAGCTTGACAATTCAAGCCACAGATTTAGGACCCAGGACGTTGCCTCCCCAGTGACAGCGGATCTCATCCTATCTGTCATTATAATTGGTCCTAATAGCTTCCACCAGCTTAGCCAGAGCACTCTTGTCTTCTGAGTTAACCTGTGTGAAGGCAACAGCGATGCATGTCTTCCTGTGGACCAGGAGCCCCAGCCTGGCCTTTCCCTTGATGATGCAGTAGGGAACCCCATCTTTCTGCACAGGGCAGGCAGGAAAACCACCAGCTCAATGGGGTCTACATCATGGGCAATCACCACCAGCTGAGCCATCTTGTTCTCCACCAAGGTGGTGACTGTATTGACTCCTGCTCAGAAGACAGGTGGTCTCTTAGTTGGGACATCTCCTTTGCCAGCAGCTTTCTTCTCAGCACGGGCCAGTAGCCTTTGCTTCTTCTCTTGCTTTGTCTCTGGCCTGCAGTTGTCGGCAAGCTTAAGCAGCTGAGTAGCTGTTTGCCTGTCCAGGGCCTGGGTGAACTGGTTAATGGCAGGAGGTACTTTGAGTCGCTTATAGAGGATGGCTCTTAGCTGCTGCAGCCTGATGTAGTGGGGCCATTTGACAAAGCGTGTTGGATCTCTTTTGGGCTGGATGTCCTGCCCAATGACGAAGTTCCTGGGTCTTCTCTCAAACAAAGGATTTGTTTTTGGCTTCCTGTTTCTTCACAACAGTGGGGGGGGGGAGGGGGCTGGGGCCACCTTCTTCCCCTTGGCCTCCTTTCCTTTGGGTATCTTGCTTGGCTGGAGGAGAGAGCTATTTTTGATGTTTTAAGAAATCACTTTGTAGAGATATGATGAACATACTAAAACCGAATCTATTTAATGCCCACAATTCAATGCACTTTGAGATCAGTACACCACAAGCTCCCCACAAGCACACAGATCCATCTGTTTCGCTCCATCCTCTCTCTCTCTCTCTCTCTCTCTCTCTCTCTCTTTGATGAGAACACTAACCTACAATCTTCCATCACATACATTTTAAGTTGACGTCACTTAGCTGCAGGCATAGACTTTGCGATAGATTTCTAGAACTTATCTGTCTTACGTAACCAGAACGTGGCACCCTTTGGCAAATGGCTCACTTCCCCCTCACGTCACGCCCTATGAACACTTTGTCATCTTCTTTCCATTTGCCTCTCTGAGTTTCCTCAGCTAAGTAGAATCATGTAGTGTTTGCTTTTCTGTGTCTGACTTTTTTCTCCCAGTGTGCTACCCTCCATTTAATTCACATTGCATACAAACTGCATAGTCTCAGAGCCTGAGGTGGGGCTCAACAGTTAACAGCACCAGCTGCTCTAGCAGAGGGATCCAGGTTCAATTCCCAGCACCCATATGGTGGTTCACAACTGTGTGTAACTCCAGTCCTGGGAGAGCTGACACCCTCTCTGGCCTTTGGGCACACAGTGCACAGAGAAGCAGACAAACTCACACAAATAAAAAATAAATAAGTTAAAATAAAAACAAAAATTTTTAAATCAAATTGCATGTTCTTCTAGTGTAAGGCTAAATAATATCCATTGCATTTGCAATGAACATTGCAGAGAATGTTCAATATGCTCTGTTGCAGATGCATTTTTTTTCTTTATCCATTCGTCCATCAGTTAAAATTTAGTATGTTTCCCTGTTGTTGTAGCTATTGTGAATAATGCTACAATTACTATGGATGTATATACATATATATATACATATACACATACATATACATATATACTTTGACCATATGTGGGAAGGTCATTGGCCCCATTTTTGAGAGAGAGAATATGTTGGGAAGATAGGGAAGAGAAGGAAGGTCACATAATTGCCCAGGCAAAAGATTACTTTGGGAATTTAAAGAAGGTGCAGAAAATAGCTTATCAGGTGCAAATGTCCTCACAGTGCAGAATACCCATGTGCTTTGGGACTCTGAGATGTGCTTCCAAGCAATCAGATAATTTTTTCTTACAAATTGGTTGGTAATCTCTGGCTCTATGTTCTCCACAAGCTGTTCAGCAGCAGCACAGGCGTGGGCAACAAAGATGGACCTGCTCCATTTCAAGTGGCAATCTTAAAGATAGAAGTTAGATCTGGGCTCAGATTTTTACTGTCAGGTCCAAGGACATCAATTTATGTCCCAGGATATACATTCAGAGTGGTCTGCTAATATATATATATATTTGACTATATTCCCAGATTCCCAGGGATAGGATTAGTGGGTCATATGATAGCTATATTTCTAATATTCTGAAGAGCTGTTTTACACAGCAGCTGCAGAGTCTGACATTCCTATCAAAATTGAACTGTTCTCTTTGCTCCGTGTCCACCAGCATTGTATTAGGGGGCTTTAGATAAAACTCTTCTAATAGCTATGAGAACTTGTGTCATTGTGCTTTCAGTTCATCTCTTCTAGGTTACAGACACACTTTCATACATCTATGGGCTTCCTTTATGTCTTCTGAGAAGTTAAGACCTGCGAGTTTCCTCTGTCCCCCTTCTTGCAGAGATATCCCCTTTCAGACAGTAGCTCAGTGCTGTCTCTGACTTAACTGTCCGCAAAGCAAGTGTCTCTTGTTAGTCAGCTGTGTTTTAGAACTGCTCTAGAAGAACAGACCCCCACACTGATCTTTTTGTACTCATTTTCATTTTATGTGTATGGGTGTCTTGTCTGCATGCATGTCCGTGCACCATGTACTTACAGTATCTGCAGAGACCAGAAGACAGTGTCAGATCCCCTGGAACTGGAGTTACAGATGATTGTGAGCCACATTGTGGGTGCTGGGAATTTAACCTGGGTACTCTGTCTGGAAAAGCAACAAGTGCTCTGAACCACTGAGTTATCGTTCCAACACACACACACACACACACAGAAACACACACAGAGACACACACACACATACATATTTTTTAACAACAGCACAGTTGAACAATGGAAGAGAATATTTTCATCACTGTCTCCACTCTGAAGTGTTATCCTAGAACAAGCCAGGCGCAGAGATTACCATAGGCAGGTGACCTCCAGCCTCCACAGAGCTGCGTTCTAGAGCTGTACCTCATTTGATGCTAGAAATTGTTCTAAGGGACGTAGCAGAGCATCTCCTCCACACATGGTAGTGCACGTTGCTGACGACATTGTAGCATCCCAGAGGCAGAATTTCTTTAATGAAATGGTGTCTGCCGTGAATGTCCTAACCTGAAAAGAAGAGGTTTGTTTTAAATCTGCCCATCTTGAGCATCGTAATAAGTCATTCTCTTGCACCGGCTGCGAGAGAGGATGCTCAGTGACAGAGGCTCTCTTCGAGACTTTCCCAAGACTTATTGTTGTCATTCATTCCATTTAATAACTTCTGATATCACTGTATCTGCTGCTTAGTTTTTGTCACCATAGAGTAACCTCGGAGGAGAGAACCTCAGCCGAGGACTCGTCTCCACCATGTTGGCCTACAGACATGTCTAGGGGGTGTGTTCTTGATTGATGATTGACGTGGTAGGACTCAACCCATTGTAGGTAATACCGAGGTGGTCTTGAGTTATATAAGAAAGCAGACTGAGCAAGCCAGTAAGCAGCGTTGCTCCATGGTCCCTGCCTCAGCCTCTGCCATAATTTCCCTCAGTAATGGACTGGGACATGTAAGTACCAGCCAAATAGACCCTTTGTGCTTTGGATCACGTTGTTTATCGGAGCAATAGAAGCAATCTAGAAAACCTTTTATTCTCATTGTTTCTCAATTTCATTGGGCCGTCTGTAGCAATGGAAAGGAATTCATGATCAAGCTTATTCTACCTAACAAGCCAAGCAATATATATTTTATATATATTTATTTAATGCATACTTATTTATCAATAATAAATATATTTTAATATATATTAAAAGCCTCGTTTATAGTCTAGGGCTCACACCAGTAAGATGACTCCATGGTGAAATTGCTTGCCCAAAGCCTAATGAACTGAGTTTGAGCCTCACAACCTATGTAAAGGAAAGAATCAGGCAGATGGGTCATGCTCTGACTTCCATGTGCACTCATGCGGTAGTAAATGCACCACACACACAGACACACACACACCACACACGCATACCATACGTACATATAACGATAATAAAAATAAAATCCAGGGCCATCCCACCACCTAGTTGTAACTCCACTTTAACGGTCATAGGTTAAACAGCCTCTCTTTATTTTTCAAGGTATTCGCTTGACATCCAGTCATACGTTCTGGCTATCCCTGGATGCCGCCATATTTGTAGGAAGGATTACCTACAACCTCAATGTTGTCCAGGACACTGGGGCCCAGACTGCATGGGTAAGTGATGAAATCTTCGCATTTTGAAATGTGCTTCTCCAGAGCCCATCTCACAGAAATATAACAGAAAGCAAGAATGGGAGGATGATTCTCTAGAACTTGTGTTCCATCTATATGTAGAAACATCAATTTTTATACAGGAATCTGCTTGCTACAGTTAGTGATCTCTCTTCAAAAGAATTCCTTGGAACCAAGCCTACTAGCATATTCCTGTAGACTCAGGAGCCTGAGGCAGGAGAATCATGATTTCGAGGCCAGCCTTGCCTGCAAAGAAAATTTTAGACCAACCTAAGCTATACAACAAGAGCCTGTCTCCAAAGAAAAAAGGAGAGGTTAAAAGAACAAAAGAAAGATCTTTTTCAAGTCATAAAAAGATACATTTGAAATAATATGCATATATTATATACATGTGTATCAAGTCTAGGGGGAATTTTCTTGATAGTGGTTTGTGTGAGAGGGTCCAGCCTACTGTGGGCAGTGCTGCTCCTGGGAAGTTGATGCTGGGTAGCACAGAGAAGCAGGTTGAGCACAGTATGGCAAGCAAAGCAGCAAGCCGTCTTCTTCCAAGGCCTCTACCCAATTCCCTCCTCCAGGTTCCTGCCCTGACTTCCTTCAGTGTTGGGCTATGACACAGAAGTGTAAACCAAATAAATCTTTCTTTTGCCAGCTTGCTTTGGGTGATAACGTTTATCACAGCAGCGGAAAGCTAACTAACACAGCATTTATACAAAAAAAAAAAAAATTAACCTCAACCTGGTTCCACTGTAGGAAGTCCTAGTTGGTGATAAATAGCCTCAGATTTCTGCGACCAACCATAACATTTGCTAGCTGAAACTGATTATAGATGTTAATACCCAAATATCAACTGGGTCCTTTCCATTGTAGGCAAATTATGTGAGTCTCCTTCCCGTTTGGGGCAGTTAAAATCTGAAATTTTTAATTCATTATGAATTTGTCACTTGTTCCTTAGCTTCTAAGACAGCATGGGAATATCCCTCTGGGATATAGTCACATGAAGTGTTCTCTGCTTTGTTTCTGCCTGACTAGATAACTGTGCAAGGCCACTGAAGCTCAGAATAACCTTTCTAAAGACAAGGAAGGGGAAAGACAGTAACTCCCACGCTGAGACTCTAAGTGTCTGGCTAATTTTTATCTTGATTTTTTTCCTATCTACCTTCTCAATCCTTGAGCTCATTTTATACACAAATCTGTGTCTTCTGCTGGTTTTCCCATAACAAATGATTACATGAGAAATGGTTCCCACTTACTCCACATTACGGCCATTAGGTATCGGGATGCCCTGGGCTCTTCATCATTTGATATAATTTTTGAATAGTCCCATTTAGACTAGACGAATCAGGGATTTGGAAAGCATGTCTTTCTGGCTTCCCTTTGGAAGGCACCAAAGGTTACTATATTTTCATCTTGTCCTCTACCGAAAGCAGGGCTTTTCAAGGATGTTTCTAACTCATTCTCAGTGTCTTCACTTTCTGTAGCCAATGCTCAGAGTGTGTTTCTTGCCCTGGAAGATAAAGCTTTGGGGTTTAGATATCCTAACCATCCTGTCTATCAATTGCTTTGTTCCAGCTTTACTTCATATTCTGATTTCATTTATGTTGCTCTGACAAAATGCTTTGACAACAAAGCAACTTAGGGGGAAAAGGAATTTATTTCATCTTATAATTCCCGATTACATCCATCATTGTGGGGAAGTCAAGGTAGGAACTCCAAATAGTTAATTAAACACACAATCAAGAGCAGAAAGAAAAAATACGTGCATGCTCACTTGCTCACTTGTTTGCTTGTATTCAGCTTGCTTTCTCCCCACTTAGAGAGTTCAAGATCACTGGCCTAGGGAATACTGCCACCCATAGTGAGCTGGATCTTCCCACAACTAAGACAATGTCCCCTGACAGACAAGTCCAAAGGCCAACTCAGTGTAGGCAATGCCCCATTGAAGTTCTCTTCCCAGGTGATTCTAGGTTGTGTGTAGTTGCAATCATAACTAACCATCATACCTGCCCACTGACACTACATACGTCTATGGCTCTAGCATGTCAGACTCAAGTGCTCAACTCAGTTATCTTTAGAGTGGCCCATATGTTTTCCAAGTTCAAGGGTGATATTTGGTGCCAAACATATCCATGACTGCATCCACTTCTCACAGCCTTCTTGTTAGACCAGAAAGAATATTTACATTTGCTTTTATCTTTCTACTTCATAAAAAATGAGTGTGATGGTACAGTTATTGGCCTGGCATAGCAAAGACAAGAACAAGTTTTGTCTAAGACAGACATATTAGGAAATTAGTGTATCCAACAGAAAGAACGGCCGACCACGTCCAACTGCGTGAGAACATTTTCAAAGTAGATCTCCTATAATCGAAGGCAGGTAAAGTGATGCCTTTCTCTGAGCCCCTTATTAAACATGGGCATCATCTAAAACAGGAGCTGCAAACAGGGCTCACATCCTTAGCAGCTGTCACCACCATGCTCTGCTGGGTGCTGGCAAATATGTCAAGGTTCTCCCTCCGCACTGAAGTGCTAAAAAAATATTTGTTTGAATGCTCAGGCATTTCCTCAGAGAGGAGAAATATGAAAATGAATGCCTGACATCAATTCTGTTTGCTAGAGAGGCCAAAGGGTACTTCCCTTTATCTTCATAATCCAAACATGCCAAGTGTCACAAACGGCTTCCTTCCTTCCTCTCAGGAAGAAAATAAACCCTTTCCTTGGTTGCCTGTTTTACCTCACCCACTTTGTGACCGTGACAAGTTTGGTCTTGACTATCACTTTACAATTCCCCAAGGACAAGGCCAGCTGCTGACACAGGTCCATCCCTCTATTCTGAGGAAGCACATTCCCACCCTCCCTATGACCTTGCATTGGGGGCAGTTGGGACACCCGCTTCCTTTATAGTACAATAAACACGTCTGTCAGCAGTGTCTCTGGCTCGCTGTGAGAAGTATTTTTATAATGCCTGACTCTGGGAACAAGCGAACAATCCTGAAAATTCAGAAAACACCAAAAGCAAGATGAAAAAGAAAAAAAATTACCCATCATCTTCTAAAAATAAGAATAAGTCACGCATCCTCACTGAAGGGGGAAAATAGCTTCCTAAGAAAAGAAAGATGTTTTTACTTCATTTTAATCTGACTCACCCTAGTTAAAGAGACTGCTACTTTTTCAAACATGCTTAATAGAGAAACCTATTTTTAACTAATCACATTCGAGCTGAGCTTTGCTCTGCAGCACAGGCTGTTCCAGAGCTCACTATGTAACCCAGGCTGGCCTTTAAGTCCTGGCAAAAGTTTTGCCTCAGCTTCCAGACTGATCAGGTGACAGGCACACACCATCACCTTTGGTACCGAGCAGCGAATGTTCTACTTGAGATGAAACCAGCTGTTTTGTTTTGTTTTGTTTTGTTTTGTTTTGTTTTGTTTTGTTTTGTTTTGTTTTCATTTACACACCTTTTCTTTATAGCTAGTCCTGAATGCAATGGTTTTGTACAACACAAGAGTAAATGTGTGCAAAAAATGTCACACACACTACAGCTCAGCTGTGATCCTAGCAAGCAATCTCAAAGACAAATGGTCTTTGTAAGAGATAGGTAGGTAGGTAGGTAGGTAGGTAGGTAGGTTGTTGTGTATGTGTGTTTGCCTGTTAGAACTTATGCATACCACATGCATGTAGGTACCCACAAAGACCAGATGGGGGCGTTGGATTCTCCCCCGGAACTGGAGTTACAGATGGTTGTAAACCACTAGATAAGGGTTCCGAGAGCAGAAGCCAGGTCCTCTCCAGGAACAGTAAGCAGTCTTAGTCACCGAGCCACCTCCTCAGGCCCCAGAGGAGAAACTGTCTCACATCTGCCTTTCCAGCTCAGCGTTGCTCTATTCTGTGAGACTGATTTTTTGTGCTGTGCTGTTTCTGTTCCATAGTCCTTCCTTTTCCACACCGTGTGCCTCACTACACTTGACACTTGATGCTTTACAAATACAGAAAGGATCTGTGAACCAAAAGTCATTCTGTCCTACCAGTTCGTGTGTGCTCTGAGGGGTAGATGATGCTGAGTTCACGTGAGAAACTTAGCTCACGTCGGTTTCCCGGGTAGAGAGTTCCAACTAGAGAGATGCCTGGAATATTGGGGTGTGTTTTCTGCTAGCACTGTGCAGTGAGCTAAGGTTGCCTGGGCTAGGCCACCTCTTAAAAGATAAGGCTCCAGGGAGTCCCCCCTGCCTTCGCTGGGCCAAAATGAATTCTCTTATTTTAAAGCAGACCAGCTTGTGATCTGCTGGCAGCTTATGATACATGTGGAAAGCCTTGACACGGAGACCACCCACCAGCGGTGGCCTAAGGGACCGTGATAACGACCTAAAATAGTCGCATCAGCTACTTCGGCCTCAAAAGGCACTACAAACGCGCCCCTGAAGCAGATTCTGTGATTGCTCTCTCAAGAGCAGTTGCTGAGAATGCCAGTTCTGCTACCCACACTGTACCCGGGGTGGCACAGGATGATCTCAGATGCAGAAAATAAACGGTCACTTGTACTTTAATTTCTTTCATTTTAAAACCAAACAAGTAGTTTTCATGTATTATTAAAAGATCCCATTCAGGCCATGAAGTAAAGACTTTCTCATCCCCATAGTTCTGCTATCATTTTCCCAAAGCTCCTTCAAGTATTAGCCAGCCCATAAAAGGAAACCACTTACTGATCACCTACTGTATGCTACACATACACACACATAGGCCAAGGCTAGTCACACTGCCCGTGACCCTCTAAGTCACAGATGATTAGGAGGGACTGACACAGGAACAGACGTGAGAAATCAGTTGTACAGGGACCCCAGTGAGGATCCCAGGGCTATGCAGATACTGCCACTTCCCCCGTTTGCCTACTATCCCACAGCTAATTGCTTCCAAAAAACCCTACCCCCTGGTACCATCACAGGGGAGTCGGGCTTCAACACAGATATCTGTAGAGGACACTTTACCTAATAA